GCAGTTGCAAAGGGGCGGACACATGCACCCCTGATTGATGGAGTAACAGGGAGCCAGGAGCACAGCCAGCGTCACACTGCGGCCCGGTCCCTCCGTGGTAAGCGAACCCCAAAACTTCAGCTTGCGGAGCACGGCAGTAAGGTCCGTACCCAGTACGGTTGGTACCTAAACACCAACCTCGGCATCGTCTTGGCCTAAGGTGAGAGGGGTCAAGGGGCTCGCAAACCAACTACCTATATATACATTCGGTGAAAGGCAGTCTACAATTTCCTCCGATGGGTTGCTTTAGTCCTCCAGGCTTTCTCATCTCCTGACTCGCACTCAAGTCCAGTACGTCGCCATGAAACTCAGCAAGTCCGACCTCAGCGCCGCCCTGCTCGCCTCGGCCCTGCCCGTGGCTCAGGCTGCGTGCAGTCTCCCGTCCAGCTACAAGTGGACTTCGACTGGCGCTTTGGCCCAACCACGGTCGGGCTGGGCTAACCTCAAGGATTTCACCTACGCTCCCTACAATGGCAAGCACCTCGTGTATGCCAGCTACTTCGGAGGGAACTATGGCTCCATGAACTTTGGTCTCTTCTCGGACTGGTCTAGCATGGGATCGGCGAGCCAGAACCAGATGAACTCGGCCACCGTCGCCCCTACGCTCTTCTACTTCGCCCCCAAGAAAGGTCTGGGTCCTGGCCTACCAATGGGGTGCCACTCCCTTCTCGTACCGCACGTCGTCCGACCCGACCAACCCGAACGGCTGGTCGAGCGCCCAGCCTCTCTTTTCCGGGAGCATCTCCGGCTCCGACACTGGAACCTATCGACCAGACCCTGATCAGTGACGGTACCAACATGTACCTCTTCTTCGCCGGCGACAACGGCAAGATCTACCGCTCGAGCATGCCAGTCGGCAACTTCCCCGGCAACTTCGGTTCGAGCTCAACCGTCATCATGAGCGGCAACAAGAACGACCTCTTCGAGGCCGTGCAGGTGTACACGGTGGCGGGCCAGAGCCAGAAGACGTACCTCATGATCATTGAGTCGATCGGGTCGCGCGGCCGGTACTTCCGGTCGTACACGTCCAACAACCTGGGCGGTTCGTGGACGCCGCAGGCGACCAGCGAGAACGCGCCCTTCGCCGGCAAGGCCAACAGCGGCGCGTCGTGGACCAACGACATCAGCCACGGCGATCTCCTCCGCACCAGCGCCGACGAGACCATGACCATCGACCCGTGCAACCTGCAGCTGCTGTACCAGGGCCGCTCCGGCGACAGCAGCGACTACAACTCGCTGCCCTACCGCCCCGGTCTCCTCACCCTCCAGGGCGCTACCGGCGGCAGCCCGAACAACCCCGAGCCCACCGGCGGCACCAACCCCGGCACCGGTGGCACGGTTCCCAAGTACGGCCAGTGCGGTGGTAGTGGTTACACCGGCCCGACGACCTGCGCCAGCGGGTCCAAGTGCACCTTCTCTAACGAATGTGAGTTCACCTCGTCTTGATTTGTTGCTCATGACCCCCGCTTTTATGGATGGCGTTTTGCTGACAATAAGTTCTGTAGGGTACTCTCAATGCCTCTAACGAGTGATGGACAAGCATGAGAGGCGCGGACTGTTCGGGGGGCGGGGAGCGGTGTCCGCCAACCATCCGTAGAAGCGCCGGAGAAGAGGAGCTGGTTTAATTACTTTCAATGTGTATAGTGGCATATCTCGTACATACAATCGCACGTACTTTATGGCACTTTACGACCTTGAGATTTGGTATGGAGTCATATAGCGATTATATTTTCCTCGATCCGCGTAACTGTATAAAGGTATAGTTCGTCGTTTGCCTCGACCTGGTTGGTTGCGGTAGCCAACACGACACTCTTTTGTGGTCTCCATGATGATCTCACCCGCCGGTTTGAAATCCGGGGTGCTCTCTGGATACACCCAATGACATAACAAAGTCGCAACGGTTTTGCAGACCTTGAAGAGCATATGCCAGGAACTTAACCAACTAATCAACCGAGGCTGGGTTTCAGGAGGTATGCAATCATCGGGGATATGCCGGTATCACTTGATCACTACAGCAACACTGCCGGTACTTACTGCCCCTTCGGATTTGCGGCTCGGGTAAATATAAAGGACCGGTTCTCTTTTTGCACCACAAACATGAAGCTTCGATGGACGGTTTCCGCCGGGTAATCTCTCAACTTGTGCAATTTGACGGCGCCAGGGTGACGCCAGCAAGCAATCAAATTCTCAGAGCCCTCGCGGCCTCACTGGCGAGGGTCAGAGCCATGCTACGAAACTTGAAACCAAGTTGCTAACTTCGGGACTGCAAGGGTTTACCTCTTCATAGCCCCCTTAT